GGCGGGTGCCTTTGCTGCGGCCGGTGCATCCCCTCCCCCAGGCACAGGCGAGGGACGCGATAACGCCTCCCCAGCGAGCTGTCGGTGACACAGCATGTCCAGCGGCCCTTGCCCCCCGGCGGAGGAGGCAGTCCTGACATAGTTCGGTTTAGGCGGCTGGAAAGGCTCACAGCCGCTGCCCACAGCAGCCTTCTGACTAAGGGTCTCCACCCTGAGGTAGTCCTACTACGCAGATGTGAGTTTGCGGGGAAAGTATTTGCCTTAACGTGTGTGTGTGTGTGTGTGTGAGAGAGAGAGAATTTGCCCTGTTACACGCACATCTGTGTCTCTGGAGAAGAGATACCCCACCAAAGTTAATTACTCTAACTCTTAAATATGCCATAATTTAAGCTGTAAGGTTGACTTGGAGACCCGTGCAAGTAGCGTTTTTTCATCTATCCATCCAGCCTTCCCTCTATCTATTCATTCAGCAAACATTTACTGAGGACCTACCATTGGCTGAACCTTGCTGGGGCTGGAGATACCCCAGTGAACAAAAATAAGCCAGACAAAGCCCCTTCCATCCTGGGCTTTGGTTGGTATTGACTTTCACCCCAGGGACAGCCAGGACCTTGGGTCCGGGCCATCATTCCATGCGAGACTGAGGGATGGACTGAGAGGTGTTCAGTGGGAGAAGGAGGGCTGACAGCTGCTTCTCAGTATGGAGGAGAGTCTTGTGGCAGGAAGACTGAGTCTGCCTTACATCCAGGCGCTCTTTTTAACACCCAGGCAATAGTGGTTTGTTATTTAGAAAGTTGCAGGCCTGGGAGTAGAGGAGCCACAATTAAAGCTTAAGTGCTATGTTGGGAAATTGTGTTGTTGGAGAAGCTGGTCAGAAAAATGCAAGCTTGAAACTGTCTTGGATCTGGAGCTGGGGGAGAGGAGGCTGTGCTGAGCTGGGCCAGGTGGTGGGTTGAAGAGAGGCCAGCAAAGGGAGGCCTCGAGGGCAACTTAGCAAAAGTTTCACGGCTCCCGCTTTCCTGGCAGTCTCCTTCCACCTTCTGAATCTTACGCACTCCTACGTGGAACTTTTGCACTCTGGAGTGAAACTATAGGGTAACTACAGTGGAGGCTCACTACCGAAGGCAGATTGGCATAGTGGCCCTGCCCTGTGGATCTGCTGCAGGTCTGGTTGTGGGGTTAGCTCGAGTCACCCATGTGTTTCTGAACTCTTGTTCCCCTGCTCATCTGCCTGTGGCCCTTGTGTCTTACCTCTATCAAGGAACTGTAAATCCCAGAGTGTGGGGAAGCTTACTCATCACCTTGGTTGTACTGTGGCTCAGCCTTGTTTGTATACAGTAGGCACTCAAAAGAGATTTGATTCGAATGTAAAAAACAACTTCAGCATTGAAAAGAGTCCACCTGTGGAAGGGTGTGTTTTAAACTGTGCTTGGTCACGCTCTAGGGCAGTGTGGTACCATGGGGACTGGATGAATGCAGTCTAAGCTCCTGCTCTTTCCTGTGTCCCTGTGTGCTTGGTTATGTCTGTAAAACTCTTAATTGTCTTGAGCTATTTTGGGCTGTAGTGTGAGGTGGGGAACTCAATTACAGCTGGCCCTCGAGCAACACAGGGTTAGGGGTGCCGACCCTCCGCACAGTCACAGGTCCCTGTCCTTGGAGTTGTCCCTCCGTGTTCACAGCTCTGTGTCAAAGGACTCAGCGAACTGCAGGTTATGTAGGCCTGTCGTGTGTACTTAGTGAGAAACATCTGTGTGTAAACGGACCTTGTAGTTTGGACCATGTTACTCAGCTGTAGTTATCTCATTGTACACATTTGTTGACCACAGGTGACCCTTGAACAACTCGGGGTCGATCTGCACGTAAGTTTTCGACAGTCCTCCACATCTGAAGTCCCTGGGCATCCACGAATTCAACCAGCCACAGGCCGTGCAGCATTGTTGTGTTTATTATTGAAAAGTACATGCGTATGAGTGTCTCCTGCAGATCAAACCTGCATTGTTCAGGGGTCACCAGTACTTGCTGTAGTCCATTCAGGATGCTGAACAGAATTCCACAGACCGGGCGGCTCGTCAACGGCAGAAACATACTTCTCATGGCTCTGGTGGCTGAGAAGTCCGAGACCAGGGCGCCGGCAGATTCAGTGTCTGGTGGGGACCTGCTTCCTGGTTCACAGGCTGCCGCCTTCTTGCTCTGTCCTCATGTGGTGGAGGGGCCGGGGAGCTATCCAGGGTCTCTTCTGTTAAGGGCTCTAATCCCATTCACGGAGGCTCCAGTCTCATAACCTAATCACCTACTGCAGGTCCTGCCTCTTAACGCCATCGCCTTGGGCTTAGGACTTCAACATACTTGGCACACATATGCAGTTTATAGCAGCTGCTCCTGCCCTTCCTCACTGATTTCCATGCCCCTTTCTGGAATGTTGAGTTATTTACACTAAGCTCTTTTCTGGGCAGTTGATTGATTTATTCATCTTTTTATTCTGATGAGAGATAATAACGTCTATTTTCTAGTAAGGTAGCCTCTTCTCATAGATGTACTAAAAAAAAGTTACTCTTATTTATATTTCCAAATAAACTTTTAGAATATTTTTGTCACACTTCGTGTAAAAACCTGAAAGAGATTTGTTAAACATCTTAATTTTTTTGGTATCATTTAGCATTTTCCTAGCGTGGATTCTCATCCCAGCACATGGTGTGGTTTTCATCATTTATTTATTTATTTTTACTTTCTTTTCTTTGTTTTCCAGTTTTCCAGTCTTCATCATGTAGGGCTGGCTTTCTATTTGTATGCAGATATTTAATTTTTTTTCCTTTTTACTGAGGTGCAGCTTGTATTCAGTAAAGTGCACCTACCTTAGCTTACAGTCAGGTGTGTCCCTCTTGCAGACTCCCCCGTGGCGTGGCCATTACCCAGATCAGCACGGTAGAGTCATTCACGTTGCCAGTAGTAGTGTTATTTTGGCTGTTGAATTCTGCCAAATTCGTGTCTTTTTGTAATGCAGGAGATGATTATATGGTTTTTCCCAGTATTAAAACATTCTTGCAATAGAGTGATTTTATGGTGATTTTTTGATACGTATTTAAAATTTCACTTTGCTAATATTTTATTTAGAATCTTTTTTATTCTTAAGTAGTTTTGGCTCGTTATTCTCCGCCCCACCAACGTTTTTATAGTTGTCAGATTTGGTGTCAGTAATGTGCTATCTTCATTAAGGCAGACTTCCTGTATTTTTCTGTGCTCTGAAAGTTTCTGGAGCATGGGAGTGATTTGTTCTTGAGAGTAGCTGGGAGAGGAAGGGCTCGCTGCCTATGGCGCCCCTTTCGCTAGGCATTGGCGAGGTTTGCCTGAGCTGACAGGTGCCCCTCTCTTCAGCGCAGGTCCTAATCTGAAGGAGTGGCTGAGGGAGCAGTTTTGTGACCATCCACTGGAGCACTGTGAGGACACGCGGCTCCATGACGCGGCCTACGTGGGGGACCTCCAGACCCTCAGGACCCTGCTGCAAGAGGAGAGCTACCGGAGGTGAGCAGCACTGCCCTGGGCCAGCCCTGTACTTGGTCCCCTGTGGGTCTGCACGAAGCTAAGACTGATCCGGGAGGGAGGCATGGCCGTCTCGGGTTCACTGGTGAAGACCCCGATGCTTCCCAGTGTTAGAGGACAGGGCAGAGGTGACTGAGGGAATCATGCTCAGACTTGTAGGAGATCGCCAGGTAGTGCGGGCGGGAGACCCGAGTTCAAGTCCATCCTGTCATTGAAGTTTACATTCTCCAGCAACTCCTGCTGCTCTCTGGGTGTCATCTTCCGTGATGGGTACCTCTTCTGGCTCTTTATCCTAAGCTGTATCCATAAATTCTCCTTCCTTAATTATCTTCATTGTCATCCCCCTGTGGGTCCAGATGTCCTGACATAGCGAACCTGTACACTGTCCCTGACACACTCTCCTCTGGCTTTCTCGGGTTCTCAGTCACCTGCCTCCAGGGCTTGGGGCTCAGGCCAGCTGTCTCATCCCCATGGGAGAAGCTGGGTGCCCACCTTCTTGTTCCTTTTGTTGACGATGCCCTGCCTGTCACCTTGCCAGATCCTGCGAGTTCCTCCAAACTGGCTCAAGCGTTGGAATCTTTTACTTCTCCCCACTTGAGACTCCTGCGGGAGCACAGAGAGCCTTCCTGCTCCCTGTGTGTCTAGGATGGGCACCCCAAACAGATGTGGAGCTCACCTGGAACCAGAAGCTCCTCTGGGCTTTTTCTGTTTCCCCTTCAGGGTTGGTTGGCAGTGAGCTGATGGAAGCAATGCCTGTGTATTGACACTAAAACTAATACCACTTTTGTGGATAGTTCCCAGAAGAAGTATTTCTAACACTACAGGAATAGATTCCTTTCTTCTTTCTTCTCTAGTGCGTTAGCTGCTCTGTTTCATCAGGGCAGCTATTCCTGTTTAAACTCCAGAAAGGACTGTCATACAGAGAAATTAAAATTCGATAGATTGTGTGTGAATATTTATTTATTTATTTTAAACTGAGCTACAGTCAGTTTACAGTGTTGTGTCAGTTTCTGGTGTCCACCATTTTTCAGTCATCCATGAACGTACATATATTCATTTTCATATTCTTTTTCACC